TGCGCAGAAACGTGTACGCACGGTTTTATAAATCTGAATTTTTTTTGGCGTACGCCATTTCCGCCTTTTGGCCGTATGTTCACTTTTAGTATGGTTTCCACGCAATCCTTTATAAATGAGACCCCAGAACTCTGACTGGTCCTAATCTCTGTGTTCTGGCTACAGTTAGTTAGCCTGGAGCCTCTCAGGATGGATTTTTTTCATGACTCTGTCCTCCCGATGAAGACAATTTGTATCTGCCAATCAAATCCTTGTGTTTCGCCCTCCAGCGACCCCCGACTCTTTCAAAGCCTGCAATCAGCCAACCACCTCAAAGTTCAGGGTTAGGATTAGTTGTTGGTTTCATTTCTTTTCTTTATTATAATCAGGTCTGTTGTTTGAAACCTATTCATCTGTAATTTGTTTTCTTGGCTGTGGTTTTTACTTGAGACGTTTCTGCATTAATTCACGTCGTGTTCAGGGCTCGCAGCTCACACCTTTTCGGTCGCTGTCTTACCGCACACTCGCTTCTTGTCATGCAGTGAAAAACAGATTTACAACTGATGATGTTGCAGCGGTAAAAGAGAAGACTGACACCACACACACATACACACACACATATACACAACAACTGATGATGTTGCAGCGGTAAAAGAGAAGACTGACACCACACACACATACACACACACACACACAAAGGAGACACCAATGGTTTTCAGACCAAACAGAAGGAAAGTGAGAAATATTCGGTGTGAATCATTGCATATTCATTCATTTATTGTCACGTTCAACATTTGCGATAAATTAATGGTTATTTCTTATAAAACCTGTTAGGTTTTATTAATAAGTTCCTCGTAGCTGATTGGAAACCTCTGAATAGTGTGAAGTAGTGCATCAGTTATCTTCCTGAGTAACAAGTCTTATTATTATCACCACTCGTCAAAAGCAATAGTGAATTTGCATGTGTCTGTGTGTTTTACAATGTTAGCAAAATATCTTTGAAACCATGAATGGATATCTGCAACGTATTCGCTAAGACCCAATTTGTTGCGGTGCTAATCACCACATTTCTGTCTGCTTTTACGTAAGGTCTGAAAGAGTTCAACTATCTGACTGGCTTCACGTTGTTTTATCGAGTCACTCCAATCCAAGAAGGTGTGAGAAACAACATTTTTAGATTTTTACCTTCCCTAAAGCAAAACTGARCTCTACTTTTGACAGCAAAACAGCATAAATGTTGCATAACGGTGAGTCAGTGACACTTAATTGTACTCACTCGAAAAAAAAGAGAGAGAATATCATCTCAGTTTCACTTTCACCAAATTTGATTCAGTAAAAACGAAGCTCGGAAACAACCGCATCCATTTTTATTTATTTATCTATWTTTTTTGTTTGACTTGGTCACGCTCTGAAACCTCAGAACCACCCCCCCCCTCAACACACACACACACACACCCCAACACACACACACTTGTGTTCCTCTGACTGATGGAGCCTGTCTCACAACAGGGACCTGCTGGAGGGTAAAACTGAGAATGATGGCGGAGCAGCTTGTAGCAATCACTTAGAATCGCTCCGAGTCTGAAGAGTACAGCAGAAACGCAGCTGCTTTACTTACGAATAAATAAATAAGTACAATAAATGTCAAACTGAATAAATAAAAAGAACGGAGAAAATGAGTTTCCAGTATCAAACATATTATCTGTTATAAGGCAATAAGTCCGTGTTCCCTATAATGATCTATTGTCTATATAAAGGTGATAAAAATGAAAATAATTTGCCTAATATATACTGTATTGAGTATTTTACAGTCACCCAAGTCTCCAGTGTTGTTGGAAATCATGGCTGCCTTGTATCATTGTGACTGGGCAAATAAATATAGCAGAACCATATATTTTCTCTTTACTTTAAAGGAAAATTTCCCATTTTTTAAACTGGAATTCTGTGAGATTATCAGAGATTTTCACAGCCAAGTCAAACAAACCTATTATTAGTCTAATTTATGTGATTTAGAATAAAAAAACGTTAATTTGTTTTAGAAAGTTTTGGATTAGGGTGGGAATAAATGAATTTTTACTTATTCCCATTCCTTTTCAAAAATGTTTAATTTTGTTATCTTACTTTATTTTTATTTTTCTTATATACATGTTGAAACAAACTTTAATTAATTAACTAATTCATTTGAACGAGGCTTAACCTAGTGATTTTAGTGCATATGTGAAGCCAGTAATCAAAAACTAAATACCAAAAATGGTATTATGTTGGGGAAAATAAATAGCATTAAAAATAGCTATTGAATATTTACATAGAGAATGTAAATATTCATGTATTTCAAGTTTCCATAAAGAAAAAAAAAATGACACGGTGCATTCTCCAGCACTGTGTAAACAATTGTTTTTACTTGTGTTGTAAATAATTTGTAGGCATTAAATAAATGATCAGCACAAGTTAATGCAAGCAAAACATTTCCTTTGTTGTAACATAAAATCTAAACAGTCAAATCCGACAAACTAACACCGCGCCACCGACACAAGCACGCATGATTGACACGCAGGAGGAGGAAGATAAGGCATCACCACCTCAGCCTGGATTAACATGAGGGAGTTTTCAAAGGCGAAGCAGAAGAGGTGACACTTCTGCTGCGCCAAGATTATGTTTCATTAATGTCTGTGCTGGATTTTAGGAGGAGATCAAATTAAAGGAGTTTCACGTGCATTAAACTTAATTTCTCATACTGGATTTAACCAGAGTGTGGCTGGAAGAGTCTGCACCGTGCAATAAACACACACACACACACACACACACACACACACACACACACACTGCTCCAGATTCATGTGGAAAGCACGGCTCACTGTCCACCTGAAGAGTCTGAAATCTGACTCACCGTGCAGCTTTTGTTTACTCATTTCAGCACTAATTGAGTCACTGAAGCGCTCATAGTTCATGTGTAATTATTCTGTGGCTTTTCAAAATTTTCCCCACTGGCAGAAAACACACACACACACAAGATGTCACAACAGCCCGTACCTGATGGATCTGCTGATGTGCCCCATTTCTAAGCAGATCCATGAGGATTTAACCATTAATAATTCATGAAGGGGGGAAAAAAACGTCACATAAGTAGTGTTTCTTTATTAAATAGCAGTGAATAAAGATAAATTTAGCTGTCCTTGTGCCTTATTTAAAGATGTGTGTCCTTTCAGGCAGTGCTGTGGAGATACAAGTTCTCACAACTGAAAGGATCGTCCGATGATGGGAAAAGCAAGATTAAATTTCTATTCCAAAATCAAGAATCCAAATCTATTGAGGCAAAAGTGAGTTCTTTTTATTGTCCTAGTCAAAGCTATTGCAGCTGCAAGTTTCTCTAAAATCAAAWACTTTTCTGTATATCTTTTACCATTGCTTTTAGGAGCTGGAGTTCTCGAACCTCTTCGCCGTGCTTCACTGTATTCATGCTTTTTTTGCTGCCAAAGTTGCTTGTCTGGACCCAATGTTTGTGGAGAGCCAAGGCACTGCAACGACCGCCGGGATACCTTCTCTTTCCAGCCTCTCCTGCAACTCACAGACTCCTAAACTGAAATACACCACTTGACAGGCGCTGCTTTCTCCGAACTCCCTTTCAAAAGAGACCAAACACTTGTTTGTCAGCACCGAAGATGGCGGACAGGTCAACGTGGATCAGGACGCAGGTTGTATGGCCGACATGGACCGGTGGAATAAAAGACCTCTACGGATTTTAGGAGCACCTTTGGACCTGAAATTGAACTTTTACTTTGAACAACTTCACACAGAGACACGATGAACATAARTTGCGATAGATTTTATTTTATTACATTTTTCTTTTGGCACCTCASTCAAGATATTGGACAAAGAAATGCAGATATTTTCCCACATTAGTTTGCTTTTTGTAATGCAGTTCTSTAAATCTGGGGTTAGATGCATAGAACTTAGTTTTTTTTTTCTTCAGTAATGTGTGCACACAAAAGCAGAAATTATTATTTGTGCCCTATTTGTAAAACCGCAGATTTGTATGGTTCTTATATCTACAGTCTATATATAAATCTGAAGAAAAATGCAGGATTATTTCACACAACTGCAGTTATTTGTAAAAGTCAGAGTCAGATAAAGCGATGATATAAAAAAATCATAATTTAAAGCTAAATTTGTTGCCTTTTCCTGTTTTGTTTCACCATATCAGACTGAGATTGTTCCTAAAATGATTATACGCATTTTAAAATGTGTGTTTATGCATCTAGCCCCTGGAGTTAAAGTGATACCTCAAAATTGTTTTAAGTGGTGTTTATGTTGAAAGGCTATGAATAACAAAAATCTTACCTGTTGTAGATAACTAATTGATTGACCTCATTTTGGAGTAATAAAGGTTTCTGTCTGGACCTATGAGCTAGTTGAATGAATTGGATTTCTACTATTTTACAATAAGCTCTTCATAAACGCTTTCTTCAAAGTGAGGTTGTTCAAAGAGCAAACTACATCAAGCAGAATAATCTTTTTGCAAAACTTCACTTCAGTAGCTCTGAACTCTTGCTTTAAAGTGCCTGTGACATGCAAAACCTTCAAATACAAAAAAGTCAAAGAAAACATTTTCTATTTAATAAACTTGGCATAATACACGTGATTTTTATCAGTTTTGCCACATAACTATTTTTTTTTCTTTTGAACTTGGCAAACCAGGAAGTGACATCAAAGGGGAACACTTTAGGAAGGTGAACTCCCTGGTTTTTGTTTATCGAAACTATATTTGAACTCTGACTCTTGTCATCTCTCTGACAGTGACTCAAAATAATCTAAAGATACAGATTCTTTGTCTGTGTTGCTAGCCATAGCACTGCTCTGTTCACATTCAGACATTCTCCTTTGACATCACTTCCTGTTACTTCACATGCAAATATCTCAACAACTGTTTCTCCCAGCAGCGTGATTTTCTTGGCCAATATGTTATTCATATTATCTTTCCAAAAATACTTCATATTAATTACAAAAAAAAACTACACCACAGGCCCTTTAATGTTCCTCGCACAAGTGATGCAGAACGTAAAGTTGGGATGTTGGTTCACTTTAGAGACTTTGGATACAGCTTTGTGATTTTTGTGATGTTTTTTTTAGTTTGAGTTGAACCCTTTAAGACACTTTTATTTGAAAAGAAAAAGGTTTTATTGCCTCCAAGCCCAACTCCAAGCCAAACAGCAACATCAGTTTTGTTCTAGAAGAAAATCTGTTGTATTCAGTCTGAGTTTAACTACAGACACATCTGCTGGCAGTGTTGGTCAGAAAACCTGATGGTTTAGGTCATTTCTTTGTCATTTTCAGACACACTATTGTAAAATACACTCACCGGCCACTTTATTAGGTACACCTGTCCAACTGCTCGTTAACACTTAATTTCTAATCAGCCAATCACATGGTGGCAACTCAGTGCATTTAGGCATGTAGACMTGGTCAAGACAATCTCCTGCAGATCAAACCGAGCATCAGTATGGGGAAGAAAGGTGATTTGAGTGCCTTTGAAC